CCAAGCTGTTGTCAAAACACAGAATCTGTATTTTTTAAAAAAAAAAATGGGGGCCTTAATTTTATTCAAGACTTGGGACAGGCAAAAATTGAGCCGATCAGTTTAAGATCTGCTGTTTTTTTTTTTTTTTAACAAAAAATCTAAGATCTAATCCTCAACCTTTTGGATTGATGCTCACTTTGGTTCACGTTGTGATTTGTAGATTCAAGAGACCCGTTGTGAATAATTCACCTTCCCTATATAGTTCTCTTCAAATAGATGCATCCCAGCTGGGGGATTCTGGGAAATGAAGTCCACCCATCTTAAATTGTGCCGGCTGGGGGATTCTGGGACTTGAAATCAGTCCCTTCTTCTTAAAAGCAGGCTGGCTGGGGGATTCTGGGAATTGAAGTCCACCCATCTTAAAGTTGTCAAGATTAAGGAACAGGATCCCATTTTTCCAGGGTGCGTTTCCGAGGGATGAAGATTTTACGGCCTCCGGTGTCCGTCGGCCATTATAAAATGGTGAAACACCAGGGTGACCAAGGCAACGAGCAGAACCCTCACAGGTCAGTATTGAGGTGTGTGTGTGTGTGTGTGTGTGTGTAATCCTACCATGTTGCAGCACGTACAACAGCGTGCAGGCTGAGGGAAGCTTTGAAAAAAAATGGCTGCTTTATTTTGGCCGCCACGATATAAAATAAGATGTTGAGATTCTGCAAAGAGTGCAGAGAAGAGCAAACAAAGAGGATTACAACCTAAGAACAGTTGCAGGAATTGAATATGTCTCGTTTAATGAAAAGTAGGACTAGGAGGGACGTGATAGCAGAGTTCCAAGATTTGAGGGGCTGCCCCAAAGAAGAGGGAGTCAAGCTATTTTCCAAAGCACCAAAGAAGGCAGGACAAGAAGCAACGGATGGAAACTCGTCAAGGAGAGAAGCAACCTGGAATTAAGGAGAAATTTCCAAACAGTGAGAACAGTTAACCAGTGGAACAACTTGCCACCAGAGGCTTTTAAGAAGAAACCAGGCAGCCATTGGTTTGAAATGGGACAGGGTTGCCTGCTTGAGCAGGGGTTGGACTAGAAGACCTCCGAGGTCCCTTCCAGCTGTGTTATTCGGCTGTTGAACCCAGCCCACCGAGCTGGTTAACTACATGAAGGGAAAATGCGTGTTATGTAAAATCCAGAATCGGTTTCCCATGTTGCAGGAAGTCCTTAACAAGATTGTTCACTCGTTATCTAAGTTTGTACCTTGTGATAACCCAAAAGGGGCATGGCACAAAAGCAACAAAGTCACAAAAGTACGTAAAGTCCCTTTAATACCTCCGATTTGCCCCCCCCAATGTCCAGTTATCCTCGGCTGGAGAGAAAACTCTCCCAAGAAGAATTTTGAAAGGGAAGAAATCCAGTCCGAACCCAAAGTACATATAAATTTTAAATAAAAACCAACACAAACCACGCTGCGGCAATTAGCGAGACAGGGCAGGATAAGGAGTTGCAGAACACAAAAGATAACAAAACACACACAGTTGGGAGGACACCAGAACCCAGATAAGATTTGACAAAGATCATGCACTCTTTGCTTCCAGCAAGGTGCGCAAACACCCTCTTTATCCTGTTTTCCCAGCTGCAGCTAATGAAGGGAATCAGGGCCTTTTTCTCCCCCATAACCCACGTTGCTCCCTTATCCATTCCTCCCTGCGTGCCCTAGGATGCAGAGGGGGTGGGCCTGGGTCTTCCTCTGAATGCTCAGCCAGACTGTGCCCTTCCCCAGTTTCCTCCACAGCCACCTGAGCCAAACGTCAGCTGTTCGACCTCCCCATCGGAATCAGATTCTAACGGGGGCATGACAAGGGCCTTGCAAAGGTGGCCAGTTGCAATTGATGCAATAAACCACAGCTAACCCCCTTTCTCCGCTTAGTTCTGGTGTATGAATTCCAGTTGGAGAGGTTTAAGCCCTAGCAAGATGGGCTTTTCAGAAAGATGTTTGGCCTTTAGGATACGGGTGCCAATTGCTCTCCGTCTCTTGTCTTCCCAGGTTCGATCTGCTGATCCGGACATACCGTTCATGGAGCCAGGACGGCATGAATTCTCTCTCCTACAAACTCCTGTCCAAAGAGCTGCTGCCCCTTTACACCAACATCACCGCCGATATCGGCACCAACCCTCAGGCCACCAAGATCGGAAAGGGCTTCCTCTCCGACTTTGGTGGGAGGGACTTTCCGCGAGACAGCAATCGCGATTTCCGTCAGGAGATGCTGCGTAAGACTCCCTTCGCCAAGCTCTCCCAAGCCATGGGATGGAAGGACCCCCCTCCAGAGACAGATAAAAAGGGGGAGAAGCCCACCCCGATCTCAGAAAACCCCAAACCAAGCCCCGGAGCCGAAAAGAGATGGAAAGGCTCTGCGGCTTCGACCAACAAGGTGGAAGCCACCCTCGAAACGTTCAGCGACACCGTCGCCAGCCCGGAAGTCCCCAAGCGAGTTCTCAAGGAGAGCGAGAAGGAGACAGTCCAACCAGTACGAGGTTTCTCTTCGCCACCCTCTTCGTCCGGACACGCCGCGCCAAGCTCCGCTCTCCGACCCGACTCTACAAATCGCACGGGTGCTAGAACTGCAGATTAAAAGATTTGAGATGATACCCAGATCGTCAGCCCGAGGTCAAAATTTAGAATTTATTCTCTTGTCCCCCCCGCTCGGCGTTTGGGAGGATCCATCGCTTTTCTCCCCGGGCCAATGGAGCAGAAGGGCCAGACCGGAGGTAGAGTGGACAAGCCAAGGGGCAGGCGAACGGGAGGCCGGCAGGACGGCGTCGGGAATCCTTCGAGGATTTGCTTCCTGTATCTGCGGGGGGTGGTGGTTGATCCTTTCTTCCCGGATTGCAGGTGATCGGACCCAAGGACCCGTATGTCCATCTCGCGCTTTGTAGGACATGGAGGTGACTGGAAGCACAGAAGGGATCGGCTCGGGAAAGGGGCCACTTCTCGTGCCTGAGATTTCTGTGGATGGATATTTTGGGGAGGGGGGAGTAGGGGGGGAACTCCGCAGCTTTGGGGAAAGCCCTCCGGCCCTCACTTGTCCACTTCGCACCTTCTCTTAAAAAAAAAGGGGGGGAGGGACTGAACTTTGCCACTCACCCCTCCCCAGTGCCAAGAAAAGCATCCCTCGCTTTTGCCCGGCTTCTCGACTTTTGTGAATTTGGGATGGGGGAGTGGGGATCTTCTCCCGCCCCGGCTGTGCCCCCCACCCCCCACAAGTAATCCAGATGGGATCAAGGAACGGAGGGAGGGGAGAGATTTTCTGACGAAAAGCCCCTCCTAAGGGCACTCGGATTCTTCTCAGGGGCAGGAAAATCTCACCCCTCCCCGGATTGAAGGAGAAACCGCCTGGAAGTTGAAGCTACGCTGGGTGTCCTTGGAAGCGTTCGCTCGTGCAATCTTGGTTGCAAAATTCTTTCTTCTTCTTTTCTTCTCCATCTCTTCTTCTTCTTCTCCTTTTATCTTTTTTCCATCTCTTATTTTCTCTTCCATTTCTTTTTGTCGTCTTCCTCCCCTCTTCCTCCTTTTTCCCCATCTCCTTTTTTCTTTCTCTCCTTTCTCTTATCTTTTTCCTTCTCCCTTTTTAATCTTTTCTCCATCTTTTCTTCCTCTTCCTCTCCTCCTTTTCCTTCGTTTCTCCATTTCTTCTTCTTTTCATCTCTTCTCCTTCCCCCTTTCCCTTTTTCATCTCATCGCCATCTTTTTCTTCTCTCTTCCTTTCTTCTCCATCTTTTTCCTTTTTCGTCTACCCTTTCTCTCCTGCTCCTCCTTCCTCCTTTTTCCCATCTCTTTTTTTTTTTCTTCTCTTCCTCCTCCTCCTCCCAGGAGGAAATTTCCTTTGAAATTTTAAACTCTGTTAATAAGCTATTGAAGCCGATTCCTAAAGTTTCCGTCGATCTAAAATCCTCTTCAAGAGCTTTTAGAGTCGGTCTAACTCAGATTCTGTCTCACTGGCTGTTCCAGAGGCTTGGATGGAAAAGTCCTTTTCCGTACCGGACTGATGTTTATCACTATCTTAGCGGCTGGGCTGTTTTGTAGATTCCCTGCACCCACCCACCCAATAAATATATATTTATTTCCCCCTTTTGCTTCGGGGCTGGTCCCAGCCTGTTCCTTCCGTCTCCCCACCTCACAATCTCTAGATCCTGCCAATGATGTGTAATTTTATTTATTCTATTTACGTAGCCGTTCGCCGTTTGGCAGAAGTGGTGCCCTTTCTTTGATTTTTACAAATATATATATATATATATAATATATATATATTTGTGTTTTTTGTTTTTTTTACAAAAATAAATATTCCCTCACCCAATGAAAACAGTGAGCTATTCTTTCCTCTACGAATGGCTGGCCACGTTAACCCAAGGGCAACCAACCGTGGTTTGGGGGTCTTATTTTAAATGCTATGCAAACCGAGTTAGGTCTGGTCAACTTGGTTTGGCGAAAGCTAGTTGCAGTCTTACATGGTTGCCCCTGTCATGCCCACAGGGAGCACGCAGGGAGGAGAGGATAAGGGAGAGACGTGGTCTACTGGGGAGGAGAGGTCCTTGATCCTCTTCGTGGGCTGCAGCTGTGACAACTGGATAAGAGGACGGACATGCGTACAGGCCAGTGCTGGAAACAAAGCATGGAAGTATCTCTAGTTTATTGTTCCTCTCTTGAGTTTGGCGTCCTTCCCAGTGTGTGTTCTGTTCTCCGTGGACGTCCTCCAGCCCTGATCTTGTCTGGTTTGTGTTGTTTTTTACTCTTTATCATTTAAACGGCATTTCCTCCTTCTTGTAACTGCTTGTGGAGGAGTTTTTTTTGTCTCCAGTCAAGGATATTTGGAGCTTGGAAGCAAAGTGAAGGAATAAAAGGGGCTTCGCCTGTTTTTTTGTGACTGTGTTTATTTTGTATCCCACCCTGGGTCATCGCAGCCCCAGAGAAGAAGGGAGGCTCAAACTATTCTCCAAAGTCCTTGAGGGCAAGACAAGAAGCAACGGATGAAAACTCACCAAGGACAAAAGCAACCTGGAACTCGGGAGGAATTTATTGAAAGTTAGAACAATTAATCCATTGAATAAATTGCTTCCAAAAGTCATGGCTGCTTCATCACTGGAGCCTTTTTAGAAGAGTCTGGGCAACAGAATCGTATAGGGCCTCCTGCTTGAGCAGGGGGTTGGACTAGAAGACCTCCCGAGGCCCCTTCCAGCTCCGTTATTCAACACTTTCCTCAAGAAGACCTCGATCAAGAGAGGCCAGATCCCAGGAATCCAGAACTCGGCTCCTCCTCAGGAGACGCCGCCCACGAGCCGAGACACCGCCGTCTGGGCGCTGAAGATACAATCGTTGACGGAAACCCCGTCGTAAGAAGCTCCCACTAGGCTAAGGGGCAGATTGTGTTGCTTCAATTGGGAAGTAGCACTTTCTGGAAAAAGAAAAGAGGGGAAGGAAAAGAAAGGGAAGATAGAAGAAAGAGAAGGAAAAGAGAGGAAAGAGAAGGAAAGATAGAAGAAAGGGAAGGAAAGATAGAAGAAAGGGAAGGAAAAAGGGGAAAAAGAATGAAAGAAAGAAAGGGAAAATAGGGAAGAGAAGGAAAGACAGAAGGGAAGGAAAGATAGAAGACAGGAAAGGAAAAACAAGGGAAGATAGAAGAAAGAAAAGGAAAGATGGAAGGAAAGGAGGAAAGGAAAAGAGTAAAGGAAAGAAAAAGGGAAAGTTAGAAGAAAGGGAAAAAATGAAAGAGGGAAAATAGGGAAGGGAAGGAAAGAGAAGAAAGGGAAGGGAAGATAGAAGAAAGAAGGAAAAGAGGAAAGAGAAGGAAAGATAGAAGAAAGGGAAGTTAGAAAGGGAAGGAAAAAGGGAAAAGAATGAAAGAGGGAAAATAGAAAGGGAAGAGAAGGAAAGATAGAAGGGAAGGAAAGATAGAAGACAGGAAAGGAAAAACAAGGGAAGATAGAAGAAAGAAAACGAAAGATGGAAGGAAAAGAGGAAAGGAAAGGAAAGAAAAGGGGAAAGATAGAAGAAAGGGAATGAAAAATAAAAAGGGAAAAAAATGAAAGGGAAAATAGGGAAGGGAAGGAAAGATAGAAGAAAGGGAAGGGAAGATAGAAAGAAAGGAAAGGAAGTCCTCCATTTACGACTGCAATTGAGATCAGGATTGCCGTTGCTAAGCAAGGCAGTTGTTAAATGAGTCACATCCAATTTTATGCCTTGCTTTATCTTGGTCGTTAAGCAAATCACATTCGTTGTTAAGTGAGCTTGGCCCCAAAAGCCAGGCTTAAAAACTTACCAATGTGTTTCCAGTGGCCGAGTGTGTACTGGGGAATGCAGGACTAAAGAAAGAAAAAAATTCACAAAGTTATTTGAGTCGGATAGGAGAGAAAAAATAAAGATTTCTTTTTTTTTTTTAGTTGCAAAGTTGCAGCCAGAAGTGCAACCTTGGATTAAGAGGAGCATCGCGTCTCGATTAATGCAAATAAATCGTTCTAGGCGTCAGGGAACTTACCTGATGGACTTTAACAATGGAGCGAACAGGCTCCGCGGAGATTCCAAGGTGTTTTCGAACAGCCTCCTGAGCTCTGCTTAACAACTCACTGTGAGGAATTGTGTTCGGGTCACCCAGGTGTGATGTAAACCAGGCGCCACCGAGCATCACCTGATAATCAAACATAAAAACAGCCACCTTAAAGCATGCTGGCTGGGGGATTCTGGGAATTGAAGTCCATCCCTCTTAAAGAATGATGGCTGGGGGATTCTGGGAGTTGAAGTCTATGCATCTTAAAGCATGCTGGCTGGGGGATTCTGGGAGTTTAAGTCCATCTTAAAGCATGCTGGCTGGGGCATCTAGGAGTTGAAGTCTACGCATCTTAAAGCATGCTGGCTGGGGGATTCTG